TTTACCCCAAGGCAGTAAGTTCTTGTGGGTGTGGGCAATGCCTTCCTTTTCAAAAGTGTGGAAAGACAATTACGAAAGGGGCTGTCTGTTCAGCAGATCGAAGTAGAGAGGAGCACATATGGAGGCCGAAGATGTGCAGACTGATGCCAGCATATTCTTGAGTGCCTGCACGTAGGTGCTCCCAGGAGAACACAGTTAAAGGCCCAGACGCTGAAGGTGGCTTACTGTGAATGGCACACGGTCACTCCACCTGACCTTCACACAGCTGTTGTAACTGCTCTGAAATAATGGTTTATGTCATTATTTATTACCTTCGGCAGTTGGTGGGGTGAGTGAAAGTGGGTCCTGCAGAACTTCCTGTCAACTAATGAAGAAATGAAGTACAGGAAGTGTTGAAAGACACCATTGCCACCAGTCTAGCTTTATAGATCCCATTTGTGACTCTAGAATACAGCGTTCTGGGCCAAAGTAGTTCATAGTACTCAGCTTCACCTTGTAGGCAAGTTATATTTATAGCCTTGTAACAAAAATAGATTAATAAGAGCACACAAATGCACTTGCTATGCATTTCATGATGGAGGGGGTGCTTCAGACATAAAACCCCGAAAATACAGGGAAAATTGTGTGTATGTGTAGGTAACGGATGTAGAAGCTCAATTAGAGGACAAAACAATGTGATTCAAACCAGGAGAATTGCAGACGGTTGTCTCTTACTGTGCCACTTTTTATTTATTTTTAATGGCTTTTTTTTTTTTAGACAAACTCTTGCTATGCACTTCAGGCTGGCCTTGAACTCACTATGTAGCCCAGGTTGTCCTCAAATATAGAAACCCTCCTGCCTCAGGCTCCTGAGTTCTGGGGACACAAGCATGTACCACAATAATTTTTCTGTGGCTATAAAAATAACATCAATTTATTGTTAAAAAGGAAGTTGGTAAATTCAGGAAAATATAAGAAAGAGGGGCTGGTGAGATGGCTCAGTGGTCTAAAGCACCTACTTGGAACAAGCTTGGCAAAGCACAGACCGGGTTTCGATCCTGCAGCACCACATGCCAGCCAGCCCCACCCCCGGTGGGCTGAGCTGGCCACACACACACACACACACACACACACAATAAATAAATGATTAATATATATATATATATATATATATATATGAAAGAAAACTTAAATCAGCCATCCTGTTCTTTAACAATAATTACTTTTTTATTTTGAATAATTTTGATTCCCTAGCTTTTAGTTTATTATCTGAGCTCTGGAGTGGCTATGGTTGCTGCACAAGGTAGGCACAGAGAAAGAAAACACAACTTCTCCTGGCCAAGGCTTGCCAGCCACTGTGGGATGCAGTTACTTTGTGGTGCTTTTCCTGCTCCCTCCCAACCTCCCTCCAGCTATCACAGGCCAGCCCCTGCCAGAAGGAAACTCACACAGTAACCACCTTGGTGGCTTCCACGATAGACTCTTGAGTTAAGGGAAGGTCCACCCACAGCCCTGGTGACCTGGGTCTTCTTGCCAGCCTGTGTGAATGTGCGTATTAGTCAGAGTTAGATGTAGAGAAACCAACCTCAACGGTTGGGCATGGTAGTGCATGCCTATCATCCCAGCATTTGGGAGGCTGAGGCAGGAGGATCACCACAAGTTTGAGGCCAGCCTGGATTACATATTGAGTTAAAAGGCAGCCCATAGTAAGACCCTGTCTCAAAACAAAACAAAACAAAACCACCCTTCGACTTCTGGTGCCTCACACCATCACCACTTCCTCTGTCCTGGGTCTGCAGTTACCTGTCCTTGGCTCTGGAACATGAGTCAGATTCAGGTAGCACTGTGACTCTCACTATCCTTAGACAGCTTGTGCCTGTGACATATTCTGTCTTGAATGTCAAGAGTGCAGACAAATGAAAAAAAGCACCACGCTGCACAAGTTCGTTGCTCAAAATTGATTTCTTGGCCCTTCCACCCTCCTTCTTTTAGTCAGAGCAAGTCTAATAGCCACATCCCCATAGAAGCAAGGAAATGAGCTCCACCCACTCTAACAAATGTCACTGCCTTGTCACCTAATGCAGACATCAGGCATATTGTGGTGCAAGGGAAGAGAGAATCAGAAGCAATGGGCTGGTCATCTAAGCTAGTGAACAGGCTGGTGTGTTCATTGGCTGCCAAAGACACCTGTCATCTGACCATCACACATTTGACCATTTCTTTCCTATCCAAGCTCCGGGCCTTTGCACATGGCCTTTTCTTCTCTTGCCAGAAACGTTACATGTATTTTTTCTCCTATTTCAATATTGAACATCTGTCAATGCCTCGCTCAATCGTTGACCTCCTCTCTAAAGTTTTCTTCGATCATGTCAACCCACAGTAATTTCTTCCTCTCTGAAAACCTGTAGTGCTTGTTCCTTTGGAATATATGTAGTGTCACACTTCTCCCTCAAGTATTGATTTGTAAATACCTATCCGTCTACCTCATTTACATTTATCTTCTCCATCTGACAGCAAGTTTCTTAAGAGCAGGGATATTTTCCGCATGTAAAAGGCCCTCGGAAATATTTATTAAAGGACTGCTATTTGTCTGCCTTATTCTTTATTCCACGGAAATAATATTTTATGTGTAATGGTTTTGGTGTCAGTCAGCTTTCTGTCTCTGTGAAAAAACAACTGAGAGAATCCACTTAAAGGAGGAAAACATGTACTTTGTCTCAACATTTCAGAGGTTTCAGCCGAAGGCTGTCACCAAGCTGGTTCCATTTCTTTTGGGCTATGCTGAGGCCAGAACTTATGGTGGGCAGGTTTGGTAGAGCAAAGCTGCTGGTGTCACAGTGGCCGGGGGGGTGGGCTGACTGGGGGGCTTCCTTCTGCTGCTGCTCTGTTTAGCCCAGGCCCCCAGCTGATTTGATGGTGCTGCGTGCATTGGGGGTCTGCTTATACACCAACCACCACTGGAAACACCCTCATACATACCCCAGAAGTGCCCTTCCTGGGTTGCTGGGTCACTGCTCACCCCAGTCAGGTTGACAAGCAAGATTAACTAGCGCATATTTGTTGTTTCCTTCCCATCCAGCAGTCCCCAAATCTTAAACTTCTAAATGCTCTGAGAAAAGGTAGCAAGTTTTGCCAAAACCCACATTTTCTGTTTTAGTTCCCCTATTATTGAATCCAATTTTTTCTGGTTTCTCTTTGAAACAATCATTAATTTTTATTTATTTATTTATTTATTTATTTGCAAAACCAGGGATTGAACTCAGGTCCTTGTGCTTGCCAGGCAAGTACTTATTCTACTGAGCCATCTCCCTGGCCCCTCAAAGAGTCATTAATTTTTGAGTTTCACTGATTGTTGCAGAGCAGCCCAAATCAAGCTGAGTGACTTCACAGAGGTGAAAGTTCTAACCCACAGAAATCAGCCTTACTCCAAGGACTGTCTTCCAACCACACTTATTTTATGTTTTTACTTTTTTACTAAAACAAAGCAAAAGCACGGCAGAGTAGTTATAATCCAGCATTTAGATCACCATGATTTCAAGGCCAGCATGGTCTACATGGTGAGCTCAAGAGTTCAAGACCAGCCTGAACTATGTAGTGAGCCCATCTCCAAAAAGAAGGAAAAAAAGCATAGTAGGAGGGATGTGGGAAAAAGAGCATTTTTGTGGACCATTGGTGGATATGTATTTCCAATTAGAAGATAGCCACACCAATGAATTTGTAAATTACATTTTTTTTAATGTTTATTTTTTTAAATTTTATTTAAGTGTGTGTGTGTGTGTGTGTGTGGCCAGCTCAGCCCACCAGGAGGCGGGGCTGGCTGGCATGTGGTGCTGGGGGATTGAAACGTGGTCCCTGTGCTTTGCTAAGCTTGTTCTAAGTAGGTGCTTTAGACCACTGAGCCATCTCACCAGCCCGGTGGATATGTATATTATTAAAGTAATTTGGAAAATGATATGTTGCTTCTTGAAGAAAGCTGAAAATAAAATTGCCATAATCTCAAGCAATCTTACTTAGGGGTATAAATACAAAAAAAAAAAAAAAATTAAGTTGGTGTGTCAAAGAAACATCTATACTCCATGTTTATGGCAGCATTATTCAAGAGAGCCAAAATATACAAACATCTCTACTGTCCATTAGTGGGTGAAGACATAAAGAAAAAATACTGTATAGCCCTAAAAGAGAAATTATTTCATTCAGAGTAGTAGGGGTGAGGCTGCTGCCACCGCTGAGAACTCCAGTCTAGCACTCACTGAAGTCCACTCCCTTTCCTTTGGTACAGAAGATACCACCTGGAGACAGAATCTGAGTACAGGAGAGTCTCTGGGATGGATCGCATAGGCCTCACTGTGAGCTACCGAGCCCACAGTGCTCTTGGCCTAAGGTCACAGCCATTGTTCTGGCTTTGCTAGGTTCATCTACTTCTCCATTCCAGTCCCTGGGCTCCCACAGGCCTTCTGGTAGCCCTAGCCGGCTCAGCCTGCATGCATTAGTGGGCAGTAGCTCACTGCTGCTGTTGCTCCCTGACATATTTTGGAACAGAAACACCAGGCAGTGGTATGTTGTGTGGTTTGTCCTGCCTGTGCACAGATGCAAGAGCTATAGAAACAGTTACCTCCATTCTAGCCCTCAGATATACCCTTTGAAGAAAAGTCCAGCCATGGACCAAGCAGTGCAGACCACCTGGGCCCACGTACTGCTTCAGCACCTTCAGGGAAAAGGAGCCTTGTGTCCACCTGGTCTGTGCCACTCACCAGCCAGAAAGCAACAGAGAGGCGAAAGCACAGCTACATGAAAGGCACAAAGTTTGAAGACCAGGAAATGGGTAACTCATAAATGGCAGCAAGAGAAAACAGTGCTGAAAGAGAAGGCAGGGAGAAGCAGTTCTGGGTGTTCCTTCAGCTCCAATGTCAACCCTGTTCATCTCACACAGGTCCACCTCTCTAGCAAGGACTGTGGATCTTTTTCAGTGCCTAATACAGTAATGAACACATACTGATTCGATTTTTAAACATTTTGTTTAGAATTTTTACTTGGATAACAAAGGAGCAAAAGAAGGCAAGAAAACCACTGAGAAAATGAATGCTAAGACGAAGGAATCCTTACTTGAGGTAAGCTTAATTTTGCAGAGTGGAAGATAAAGAACAGTGTTTCCTTCATCTATATTTATTACTTCTCCAGAGAAGTGAGAAATTGTGAGATATGGGCTAAAATTTTAAGTTCAAATTTTAAAATAAAATAATTATTAAATTATAGATATTTAGACAACTGATTCTTTGAGTCAGTTGTAATAAAGTATGACTTTAGATAATGTAGTGTGCTTTTCATGAATTTGATTAGTGGTTTTTGACTGAAAAGATATGTGAATCTTCACAAAACTCATCTGCTAATATTCTATGTGTTCCTTTATTTAAGTGCCTGACTGAAGTCAAAGATTTCTAAATCTTTAAATCTTCTGACTGTACATTGAGACCATAATGTTACCTTGAGACCATAATGTTAAGTTCAAAAAATCAGACCCACAAGCTTGAATACCACGTGATTTCTCTTATACAAGAAGCCCAGAGTATAAATAAAGGGCAAAATAAAAGATAGGGAGTAGGGAAGTAGGTCTTTCTAAAAAGAGAAAGGTATCAAAAGGTGAAGGAGGGGAGAGGGAGAGAAAGGAAAGGTAATGAGGAAAAAAGAATATACATTATTGACATCTACCAATTCCCTGCAAAGTACATAAATATTAAGATATATATCTTAATATTATATATGTATGTATATATATATTAAACATTTGGAAATAATCTCCCAGGCAGCCGCTACATTTGGTGGGAGAGGTGAGATTTGCAGATGGGACATGATATAGGGTAAGATTGTACCCAGTGTTGTGGTGTGCTAAGGGGATCCCTAATCCTAATCCTCTGGAACATTAGGTTTGGAATCATACTCAGTCATCAGAATTAGGTTCAAGGAGATGATGAAAGCTCAGATGTCTCTGATGATTACTGTTACTATATGTTCCACAAGTTCATGTGACAACTGAGTCTTGGAAACTCCCAGTGAGTTTTCATGCTGTAACTGTGCTTTGCTCCTCAGCGGGAACACAGTATAAAAGCAAGGTCCCAGTTCTCGGGTGGGCATGCTGGAGGCTTGGGCAGGTTTTACTTACTGCCCCTCAACTGAGTTGAGACTGGGTTTCTCTTGAAAAGTCAGGAGCCCTGGTGATGCCATGGCCAAGGTGCTGACAGGAAGAGCACCCTTTCCCACTCATCAGGCTCCTGCTCAGACCGCTGCACCTGCCCCTGCCCCTGTTCCTGCTCCCACTCCCACTGCTGTTCCTGCTCACACCACTGCCCCTGCCTCTGCTCCCACCCCCGCACCCACCTATGTCCCTGCCCCTGCCCCTGTCGCACCCCTGTTCCTGTCCCTGCCCTTGCCCCTGCTCCTGTTTCCACCCCTGGTCCTAGCCAGGCTCCAGCAACAAGGATGACAGCAGAGCCTTGCTGTCTCCCCAATTTCCTAAGTGCCTGTCTTGAGCTCTGGTCCCTGGGGTCAGGAGCACACAGGGCACTTCTTGGGAGACCCAGCAGTGGAAATGGGTGCAGCTCTTCTGTCCTTACTGAACAAGGCTCTAGGCTGACTTGGGGAATATAGGCACCAGGTGTCCCCAAGAGAGGAGATACAGGATTCTGAGCATCTCCGGCTGTGATAGAGAAACCAAACCTTAAAGGAGAACATTCTAATCAGTGCTTAGCAATTAGTGTCTTTAAGTTGGGAAAAAATATAACTAAATAAATAAATAAATTGGGGACTGGTTATATGTTGGCTGATACAATTGCCTGAGTAGCTCCTCTGATAGCATTGTTTTACCTTTGGATGTGAAAGAAAACACTACCTATGTCATACCAAGAAAAATGAATATTGTCCTGCTATCTCAGTTGGATCAAAAATCAGAATAAATTTGATAGATTATGGGCAGGTTAATCAATATAAGATAGACTGATAAGGAATTGGGTAAAAGGTGAACAAAAATATTTTCCATATATAAATATACTTGGAAGAAGCAAAATTATTTTGTATTCATGAGACCAAAACAGTGTGCTAATTTTATACAATGGAGTATTCCTTGGCTATAAAGAAAGACAAATTCAACGCCTTTATAGGTGAGTGAATGCAACTACAGGATATACTCATAAGTGAAATAAATCAGACCCAAGTGCATAAATATTGTCTCCCTAGTCTAAGAACCTGAAAGAAGAAACAAAACCTGAAAGGTACAATAGAAACAGTAAAACAGAGAGAAACTGAACTTAAGGGTTAAATAACAAAGATAAGAGAAAGGAAAAAAGATAAGAAGAAAAGGAAGAGGGCAAAGGATGCAAGTATATACACAGAATGGCTGAGATGGTTGTACTAGTAATTTCCATCAGTTTTTTGAAAATAGCAGTTAATGTTTAGAATCTTCACCTTGTATGCTGATATCTGCAATCTGAGCAACTACAATGAGGACAGCAATGTGTAATACAACACCCATGGTTGAGAGACCCAGTCCTAGCCCAGGCCGATGAGTGTGTGGGAGACCTTCCGGCTACCCTGCACTGGTGGGAGCTACTGGTCCCAGCATAGGCACAGTGTGAGTGAGACCCTCTTCCACCCCATTGGGACGCCCACAACCACTCCGCAGCACCTCCCCTACCCCACCCACTGAGTAGGAATTTCTGCCACGTTCCAGCAACCTCCAGACCCAGTCCTAGCCCAGGTCCGGTGAGTGTGTGGGAGACCTGCTGGCTACCCTGCGATGGCGGGACCTACTGGTCACAGCCCAGGTGCAGCATGGGTGAGACCCTCTTCCACCCCCTTGGGACGTGACCCACCACTCCGCAGCACCTCCCCTACCCCACCTGCCCAGTAGGAATTTCTACCGTGTTCAGGGAACTGCCAGATCCAGTCCTAGCCCAGGTCCAGTGAGTGAGTGGGAGAGCTTCCCGCTACCCTGTGCCAGCATTACCTACTGGTCCCAGCACAGGTGCAGCATGGGTGACACCCTCTTTCACCCTCTTGGACCGCCCCCCATCGAGCCATAGTACCCCCCACACACACCTCCCACAGAGTAGAAATTTCTGTCATTCTGGGAACCCCCAGATCCAGTCCTAGTCCAACCTCTGTGAGTGTGTGGGAGAGCTGCCTCTTCCCCCTACTCCACCTTGTCCCCTCCAGACTCAGCTAGGTCTGGCATACAGGCCTAGTGAAACCCTGCAGCTGCAATCCATCCAGAGAGTGTAGGGGACAGAACCATCCAGCTAGTCCAGGAGGAGAACATCTTGCCAGAGGAGCACAACAGGTTCACCCCCAAGGGCAGCAGCAGGAAGGAGCTGAGCACAGCAGCCAGACCCAAGACAGGCAGAGCTGGATAAATCAAAACTTTGTAGATCTGCACCTGAACTTCAGTAGTTGCTAAGGTTATAACTGCAACAAAGATCTACAACAAAGATCAGAAGACAGTGCTATACAAAATGACAACAAGAAGGATCAAAATGCAATCTCAGAGCCCAAGCCCACTCATAACAAGTGCAGAGGACACTAACACAGAACAAATTGGGAATCACACAGCTGAAAGCAATGAATCAATGGCTTCTGAAATAAAGAAACAGCTGCAGAAAGGTATAGAGGAACTCAGACTGGAAATGAAAAAAGAAATCCCTGTGCTCGCTTCGGCAGCACATATACTAAAATTGGAACGATACAGAGAAGAAATCCCTGAATTAATAACATCTGCAGTAAAGAATCAAATGCAGAAACATATGGCGAAATCCAATGCCCACCCAGAACACGTGCAGAGGACACTAGCTCAGCTCAAATGTATGAATTAATAGTGTTGATAGGACCAGGAAGATGGCTCAGTAGAATAAGCGCTTCCCTGGCAAGCTCAAGGGCCTGAATTCAATCCCTGGTTCTGA